TGGAAAATCCTGTGTATATATAATATATTTTGAATATTGTAGTTGTCCGGCACTATATATATTCATATAATAAAAACTTTCCAAACCTGATGTTCGAATCGTATGTACATCGCTATATATATATATACACAGAGGTTTTGGGGGTTCCTCCATGTTCTAAGTAAGAATCCACCAGCTATCTACGTGCATTTTGGAAAATCCTGTGTATATATAATATATTTTGAATATTGTAGTTGTCCGGCACTATATATTCATATAATAAAAACTTTCCAAACCTGATGTTCGAATCGTATGTACATCGCTATAGATAGATATATATATATATACACAGAGGTTTTGGGGGTTCCTCCATGTTCTAAGTAAGAATCCCACCAGCTATCTACGTGCATTTTGGAAAATCCTGTGTATATATATATAATATATTTTGAATATTGTAGTTGTCCGGCACTATATATTCATATAATAAAAACTTTCCAAACCTGATGTTCGAATCGTATGTACATCGCTATATATATATACAGAGGGTTTGGGGGTTCCTCCATGTTCTAAGTAAGAATCCCACCAGCTATCTACGTGCATTTTGGAAAATCCTGTGTATATATAATATATTTTGAATATTGTAGTTGTCCGGCACTATATATTTATATAATAAAAATTTTCCAAACCTGATGTTCGAATCGTATGTACATCGCTATATATATATATACACAGAGATTTTGGGGGTTCCTCCATGTTCTGAGTAAGAATCCCACCAGCTATCTACGTGCATTTTGGAAAATCCTGTGTATATATAATATTTTTTAAATATTGTAGTTGTCCGGCACTATATATTCATATAATAAAAATTTTCCAAACCTGATTTTCGAATCGTATGTACATCGCTATATATATACACAGAGGTTTTGGGGGTTCCTCCATGTTCTAAGTAAGAATCCCACCAGCTATCTACGTGCATTTTGGAAAATCTTGTGTATATATAATATATATTGAATATTGTAGTTGTCCGGCACTATATATTCATATAATAAAAATTTTCCAAACCTGATGTTCGAATCGTATGTACATCGCTATATATATATACACAGAGGTTTTGGGGGTTCCTCCATGTTCTAAGTAAGAATCCCACCAGCTATCTACGTGCATTTTGGAAAATCCTGTGTATATATAATATATTTGGAATATTGTAGTTGTCCGGCACTATATATTCATATAATAAAAACTTTCCAAACCTGTATAATATGAATCCCATCCCAATTAATCAAACACCCACCAGAGTCCCCATGGAGGATGACCTCCTTTCCAGCGTTGTGCTTCTTGGTCACCAAGACTCCGCCCGAATTGACGCAACATCACACCTCCTGTATATATAATATAAATATGCAGTGTTAAGTTGTATGTATGTATACATATACATATATTTACATGTATATATGATGGCGTGTTCTAAGTAGAGGATCCTCATATGTTCTAAGTCACTTAGAACATACGTCCCCTATTCGCCGAAAATGTTCTAAGTAGAGGGCGCGTACCCACCGAAATAATTCCAAAACGATGTTCTAAGTAGTTGTCCGGCGCTATATATATAATATATAAGTATTAGTATTTTTCTAGATATTTGTATGTATAATATATGCATATATATATATATATCTATATGATGATTATAATTTATCATAATGTTGCTTTGATAGCTAACTCCTATGCATTCCAAAAAGCCCTGTGGAATGCGCTGCAAGCGCTTGCGCGCAACATCAGCAACATCGCCGAAGGTCCCAGCTGCAGCTCACGGCCAAGACCGGCAAAGGCCGTAGTAAGGGAACCAAGGGAAGCAAGGCGCACGGGTCCCGTGGAGGAATGCAACGATCGACTGGGAGTTCGGGGCCAAGTGGTTCTCTAAAAAAACTCCATACCTCACATCAAATGTCACGTGACATCACGTGACAAAAATGACTTATTCTAGCTTCAGATAGAAGTATAAACTACAAAGGATCAAGATGACCCATCGGAATCCCATTCAAGTACCATTAATCATGAATACTATGAATCATCGATTGCTAACATTAACCTATTAACATTGATCATGAATATCACGAATATCATGAATATCCAAAAAATATCATGACAAAAATCATGGTATATGATTGGATTGTCATATAATATCATATAATCCTCAGTCATTAATCATGACATTCATGACATCATGACGGGGGGTTCCTTCAGTGGTTCACTGGCGCCAGGGACTTTGGCGACCCAGTGCTGAGGTGCCTTAAAGTATGTTGCAGTAGCCTCTGGTTATGACTAACAGTTCGCCATGGAAAGATCCGCCATTTTTAAGAACGGTAAACCCAGGTAAACCATCTATTTCTATGGACCATCTATACCATGGCTATGTTAGTCATAACCAGATGGTAAATGATATATACTCACAGTAGATAGTAAATGATATTGAATGATATTGAATGATATTTTCTATAATACTAAGGTGTTGAGTGGACTTAATTAATATAGCCATGAATCTTGTGACTCTACTTCCTGATTCCATGGATTCAATGCAGGTCGCCCAGCGTCACACGGGCGAGTGGCGCTACCTGGCGAAGACAGAAGGCGAATTTAGGCGTGTCGTGAGATGGAGACGGGAGGCAGCTTGAAAATTGAGAGCCCTGCAAACATCTGCAAGTGTCTGCAAGTATCTGCAAGCATTTTGAACCATCATTGATGATCTTGATGATCTTTTGTTTGGCCATGTTTGGTCACGTTTGATGATCTGAATCAACTTAAGCCACTTGGTAGGATACAGCTCTCAGAACGTGGTGTGGGAGCTTAGCGGGACAACTTTTTGCACCGTGATGTTCAAAGAGAGTTCTTGGTCGTGAGCAATATTGCTTTACTTTTGGTGAAGTATGTGACTGGGAGATCTCAAATAAGCATCTGTAGCCTGATGGGTGCAATTTGGCATTTTCACTTGGCCGACAAACAAAGGAACGCCATCGAATACAAAACCCTTGCCCGCTTGCCATATTTACCTACACAAAATCAATAGATAAATAGATAATTAAAAATATGAATATTAAATAACTGAATAAATGAATGAATGAATAAACGCACACACACACATATAATAATAATATATATATATACACAAATGAATAAAAAAACAATATAAACATCAAATGCCGTAAAGTGTCCAAAGGCTATGGCTGTAGCATGGCAGGAGTCTTCTTTCCTCACGCAGCATTGGAGGTACGCTCCTCTTCTGTTGCGGTGATGCCTCAGGGGTGCTTTTGCCGCAGGCAGCAATGGGGGAGATGGTGTTTTTGCTGGGAGTATGAAGCAAAATATTGAAATTGACATGTGTGCTGGTCTTTATGGATTTGATTTGTCAAGCATGTTTCTGCAATTTTCCAAGTGCTCTGAGCTTCACTGATTTTGTGCATGTTTCTGTAATGTGATAGTTGTAGTCAAAGGTAGCTGCCAACAAGGGCTGTTTTGTGCCCTCTTGGTTTGAACAGGAGAAACGCTGGCTTCAAGCCGAACTACATCAAAACGGGGAGGTGCCCCGACCTACAATGTTGAGCGCCAGAAATTTCATTAAATTTATGATAAATTTATATTCAAATCGGCATGATCGGCCGCTGTACAGAAAAAGCCAGCACTGAATAGACAGACTCTTTAAATGTACAAAGCAGATGAATATCAATCGTGCAGCTGCCAATCAGCTGCCCGTATTTTTTCCTGCCAGGATGCAGGTACTGCAAGAGTCCACTTCAGCGAGAAGACGGAAACTATGATGTACCTTGGCTGGCTGGCGAACCTGGCAGCTTTGTTCATTGAAAGAGCTGCAACATGGACAGTTTGGCCTGTCTGATGGTTCCAGCACGGAGCATTTTATGCAAGGTACGCGTCCCGTCCAGTTGGAGCAGAGTGCTTCGAAGAAGCAACACCAGCATACAGAATCATGACTTTGCCAGAGGTGGGGGGTGATCTGCGATCAAACTCACTTGCTTGGCACGTAGGAAACGGATGTGTGCCATGGTCAAAAGTTGGATACCCGCCACCGCTTGCGGCTAGTGAGTGTGGTCGTGATCGTCATGCTCCAGATTGGGGGCACGGCATGGTCATCAATCCATTAGCAGCGACTCATGCACCCATTGTTAGGATTAATGTTGTGATGGATGGCCATACCACAGCAGGCAAACAGAGTCTCCGCCGAAGATGCAATTGCTGTTGCCAACAAAGCTTCAAGGCTCAGCTCTGCATCGAGATGTCGTTGATGTTTGGAGCAAACTTCATGAACGATCATGTGGCAAAGCCTAAACCATAAACCACCCCTCATTGGGCCAATGATTGGAATTTAATCATTGGGTTTACCACATCAGCACCAGTCGTTCCCAGGATCTTGGAGAAAGGCCTTGCAAGCTGGGCTCCCGAAGTGTTCCACAGCGAAGCCATCGATGTGGAAAACCAATGGTTTCCCTAGGGAAAACGGCTGAACAATTGATGGGTTTTCTACATAAATGTTAGTTTACCCGAGGGTATGTAGCATGGATTTGCATGACTCAAGTTAGACTTTGAGTTCAATGTATTTTCACTCTGGGAACATTTTTGCATTTGTTCCCGCCCGCCTCCCGCCCGCCTCTGTCCTCTGGTAAATATATTATTTGGAACTTGCATGTTTGGATTCAACTGTGCTGACACAAGGCAGTGCTGGATTTTACGAATTTTCAATCTTGGTAGTTTATGTAGTTTGATGATACGTAATGAAAGGTGAGTTGACAGTGGTACTGGAACAAATCCAAGTTTTGTGGAAAAAGAACTAGGCTATTGGAAAAACGCGTTGTTTCTCTGCCAACTTTGCAGATGGAGCGTGAGGATTGATTGACTCGCACACCCTGCCTTTTTCTCACCCTGACCCATAGACCTCAATTTTGCAAGCCCTTTGCCGTCCAACATTCGGATCGCCAGTGTCTACATTTTGCCCGTTTGGTCCCCACCGGTTCAAGGACACTGAAGATACAGGGGTCCCCAGGAAAGTCTGGGTGAACAAGTTGAGAGCGGAAAGACGGTTGGATCTAGCTCCCTGTAGCCCAAGATGAACGAGTATGAGCATCTTGGTATACAGGAATATCAAGCCTACGATGGTCCTTGTGCGTATTATGCAATCCTTCCCAGACATTTCTTCGGGTTAGCCGGGTTAGTTACATGAAATCCGAGTTGTTTGATGGTCATTGCATGTCATTGCTATTCTATCTTAGACTAGAAGGTCTTGGGCGAGTCATCTGCAGCAAGAGTATGAGCATTTCATCAGACACCCCATCACACATGCATGAGCCAACGCCCAAAATCGCATCATTGACTATTGACCATGACATTTTCTTGGTCAACAAATGCAGCTTGAAATGGGCAAAAAACTGAAGCAGGGACAGCATTAGTGAGTATGCAAGCCTCTTACAGTACTTCGTAGTGTACTTCGTCCAAGTCCTGCCATCGTCCATAGCCTCTATAATCACAAGAACTTGAGATCGCTTGATGGTGTCAGTGGCAGTCACCAGCCTCATCCGAGGTATATTTACATGAAGAAGCGCAAGGACTTCGGTCGATACTGTAATTTCGATACAGTTGAGGCGCCACGGAGCCGACATGCTCTATACTTGCGCCATGTATGTATGGAATAATGCATAAATTTAGCAACATTGCTTTGGCCCAACAGTGGCCTAGATATAGGCAACTATACCCTGCATGGAGCAGATGGGTGCATCAATCATCAGGCGAAGATCCTTGGGCAAGTGGAGAAGCAGCCTCAGTGTGGCGACATGTATGTGGAGCAGACCATCATCAATGCAGTCACATGGCTGCGAATCACGAAGTTTGATGAACTTTGGATGTGGAGGTTACAGTAAACATGGTGAAACATGGTGAAACATGGTGAAACATGGTGAAACATGGTGAAACATGGTGAAACATGGTGAAACATGGTGAAACAACATTAAACAACTGGATTGATATTAGTGCTTGATTTGCCGAACGACCCGCGTGCTCTTTTTTTGGGTCATTGAAGTCCATATTTTCAGGATCTGCATCTTTGGAAAGCTGGTCCAAATTTCGGGGTGATTGCCCAATATCGAACCACAAATGACCTGATGAATGACCATTGATGATGGATGATGATACCCTCTGGTAAACTAACATAACTATGGAAAATCACAATTTTTAATGGGAAAATCCACTATAAATGGCCATTTTCAATAGCTATGTTAAATTACCAGAGGGTATGTGCCTTGCAGATCCCAGGTCTTTCACAACATTCCGGAGTTCTCGGAGCATTCCGTGAACACCGCACGGGTCAAGACGCACGCCCGGGTGATGACCCACGTGGAGGGCGGCTGGCCCAAGGAGATTGACTACAGTGAAGCCCAAGATACGTTGAAGTACCGGAAACGATTGGAGAAGGACCCGGGTAGCCGGGTAGCCGGGTAGATTGAAGTTGTCTATAATAGTATAGTTGTAACAGAGATCAGTTGATCTTGATTGACTGTATTTTGCGAGCGTGGTTTTGCAGGTGGTTGTGAGCCTAGAAACGCATCATTATCATCAATATTAATCAATTATATGCATTGACAATACATTGACATACAATTGATGATGATAATTGACATATAATTGACATATAATTATATACATTGACAATATCATCAATTATTTACACATTTTGTCACATACTTTTTCTATGCAGAAATCTTGGGCCCTGGCGTCATGACAGTCATGCCAGGATCCTGCGTACATTAGTGCTGTGAGACAGCTCACCAAGCAGACCATCCCATGCCTGGAGATGACACTTGACGTAGAGGGCCCTTTTCGGACGGTTGGGGGTGATTGGATGTTTAGATGTGATATGTGGTTTGGTTATTGGCACACATACACAGAGATATGAGATATATCATAGCATATATCATAGCCTCATAGCATATATCGTATCATATCTATGACACGTCTTATGTATGTACATACATGTGTATTTACATTTTTCCCTGCACGGATAGATGCATAGATGTTTATTTAAGATACAAAATAACCACAGTCTACACCATATCACGTAAAACTCACATATGTAATGTAATGTAATGTGATGTAATGTAATGTAATGGAATGGAATGATATGGAATGTACTGCAAAGTAAAGTAATGTAAAGTAATGTAAAGCAATGCAACGTAAAATGAAGTAATGCAAATGTAATGTAATACATGCATGCATGCGTGCGCGCACACACACACACATTACACATACTCACATGCACATACACAGACACACACACACACAGACACACACACACAGACACACACACACAGACACACACACACACAGACAGACACACACACACAGACACAGACACACACACACAGACAAACAGTCATTTACATTTATTTACATTTATTTACACCAGCGGAAACGTATTGTGAAATGTATACAGATGCATACATGTGTATATTACATAACGATGTTGATTTTGCACACGCACACATAAACACAATTAAACACACACACACACATTTTGCATGCGCGTGCAGTTTACATCCTGTCAGTATATGGGTTGTGTTCATGAACCTGAGCCTTGGGCGTGCCGAATTCACATGGTCGGTCTCCAGAGGGGTTGAATTGAGGAACAACACCATCGATCTCTTTGAGATCTACTTTCAAGAGGAAGAGCCGGACCACATGCCGGAGATTCTGAATTTGAAGACCATCGCGCTCTTCAAGGAGAGATCAGACTTGCAGCAAACATCAGCTTTTTAAGTTTAAAGATGTTTGAAGTGTTTGTGCTCAAGTTGTCAAGCTGAGATGGTTTGATTCTTATCATTTTTGAGGGCTTTTCCATGCTTTTCCGGTGAACTTCAGGACCCTTCAGATGAAGCCAGGAGCGTCACAAAGATTGGTTGGCATCCAGAGGGACCCACGAAGCTTGTGGGATCCTACTCGAACCTCCGATTCCAACGTATTCTCGCCGCAGCAAGCTTTGTATTTACGTGTGTAAAAATGGGGATATACATAAGTAATATATATATATATACATATACATCATTATACATCTATTTATAAGGGGATGCAACTTATATATTGGGTTGATTGGAAAGGGGGTGTAGGACATGGGATATTAATGGTCATCACCCTCAGCACCTGGTTGCGTGACATGCGTTTTCATGAGACTCGCCTGTCGCATGGTTTGTGTTTTTTTGTTCCTTCTGATGTAGTTGTTTATTTAAGTTTATTTCCCTCTAATTGATTTCCCAGACACAAATCACACATGCAGTACATAGCAAAGCGCGTGTTGTCCCCCCAGCATTTGAACGTTTGACACTGCAGTGGATGAGATATTGTTTGGAGGTTATTAGGTGCGGTTTTGTAGCCAAGGGTGCTGAGTTCTTCCGTCAGGCATGTCAGAGGATATGCCCATGGCCTCCTTCATTTGGGACATTAGTGAGCGGAATGTGCCCTTGATGGAGTTGCGAGCGACCTCTCCTCTCATATGCTGCCAGTACAACCAGAAGAATCCAGACTGGCTTCTTGTCTTCAGACCGGGGAGTACATAGTCTCCAAGGCTACCAAATTCTGCTAAGCTATATGATACAGTAGTTTTCGCCTCGAGTAGCTATATGCTCAATTTTTACATTTGGTTCTGAGAGGTGGACGGTTGCCACAGATACTGATTTTGTACACTTCTTTGGAATCACGTGTTTTTTTTGGATGTTGTGATGAATCGACCCAGAAGGCCTTCCAAAAAAAAGCTTCAAACCTATGAATCACATTGAATCACCACAAATCAAGCAAACATGCTCTCATTTGATTTCAAAGATGAACCTGCCTTCGCGCAGCATCGTGCAGCTCATTGAGATTGGCCAAGGCTGCTGGGAGGAAGTTACAATGGCCTCATCAACCACTACGATCTCAGGAAGGGACCTTCCCCATGCCTGAAGTCATCCGTAGAAGTGGGCCACTACGATCCAGCCACTTTGGCTAGCGACGCGGGGCTTCTGCCGAAAAAGAGATTCACCAACAGTGGCCCTTGAATTTTGGCATCGTTTGACACCAAATCTGAGTGGCCAACTCCCACCACTCCCACATGACGATCACCTGAAATTCCCATCAAGTCATCAATTCCCATCCATTTTTCGGATTTTTCTTGCTTCAGCCAGCATTTTTCCCATGGTTTTCCCAGGGTTTTCCCATCAATTCCCATGGTTCAACCATGGGTTTTCCTGATTTTTGACCAGGTCTATGACGTCGTTTGGCTTCAAAGCAAGACGGGCACGGAGTGCGCCTCCGTCTCCTCGGACGGGCGGCTGCTCTTCTGGGACGTGCGGAAGCTCCACGAGGCGCGAAGCGGTGTCTTTTGGATGGCCATCTAGGGGGCCATCCATGACGAATCATTGGATTTTACCCTCTGGTAATTTTACCAACTGAAACATATGGAAAATATGGTGATTTATTGGAAAAATATAGGACATATATGGTGATTTATGGATGTTTACCCTCTGGTAATGACTAACAGTTTGCTATTGAAAATGGCCATAGAAATAGTGAGTTTTCCCATTAATAGCATGGTGGATCTTTCCAGTTCGCTACGTTAAATTACCAGAGGTAATGGCTGATGGTTAATGAATGGCTAATAATGGGTCTAATAATGGTAAGAATGGTTTTGAAAAAAACGTCATAACTAATCCCTTCCCCCTGTCATATTAAACGCCCCCAAAAAGAAACCATAGTTTAGTGTTTAATATGGTATGGGATTCAACAATGTTGGGTTGGGGTGACCATCAACTGGTGAACTATCAATGATTCAGATAAAACAATGCCAGAAAACGCAACTACTGTATATGGATTGATGGTTGGTACATGTTGATACCACCCATAAAAATGGATCAAAATGGTAAATGACTGGGGCTGGTTTACTATTGCTTAACTAACATTTACCAAATATTTTTGGGTTTGAAAATGGTTGAAAGATATTGAAACCACCAAGCCGAAAACTGATGGAAGAACCACTTCGACCAGCTGTTGCACCTTTCCAGGTGGCAGATGAGTGTGTCCTGACAGACGGCAACAAAGAGAGCCCCAAGACCTTAGGTTTCTTGGCAGATCTTGGCAGAGTTGGTGTCCAGCTGTGTCCCAGCTGTGCCTAGTCACCTAGTCATCCAGCTGATCCAAGATATTCCAAGATACGGTAGTCCAAGATATTCCAAGCTACATCTTGCAGGTGGCGTCTCCTTGGAATGGATGCAGGAAGCTGGACCCACCAAGTTCCTCGTGGGATCGGAGCATGGCATCATCCTCTCCTGCACCAAGCGGCCGAAGAAGCAGGTGGGGATGATGCTGGCCAGGGATCACCAGGGACTATAGATATCTATGGATATCTATGGATGATTGGGGTAAGGTCAGTTGTAATTACATGATATTATCATGATATTACTTGTAATTACCTCAGCGAACAACAAGTCAGCTGCCTCTATGGCTTTTCTTACCGCGAACCACCGAGGTGGAAATTGGAACCTGGTTTGGCTCTGAAGATCGTGGTGGCTACGGCAAGCACTTTGGCCCGGTGTACTCGGTGAAGCGTAACCCCTTCCACCCCAAGTTCTTCCTCTCGGTGGGCGACTGGTGTGGAAAGATGTGGATGGAGGAGCTGAAAGGCGCAGTTAAAACTCTGGGGGCCATCATGGGCCATTCTGCGACCAACGGAACGAACATGAACTAAACATGAACTAACATAGTATAACATAGTATAACATAGTGTGACATAGAAAATCTCACAGGATCTTGACTCGCAAATTCTGTCAGGGGCCGCGTTGTAGGCCCGATGCTCCAGACTCCATACTACCCAGCCTTCATTAGCGCCGGAGCATGGAGTCCAACCAGGGCCGGTGCGACTTGGATGAAACGTGAGTTTCTGCTATCATTTGGCTGGTCTATCGTGGGACCACCTGGAAATTTGGTGGTTGATATACTGTATAATTATGTTCCCCACCGGAAATGCATTTTTGAATAATTCTGAAGCATCTCATGGTATCACCCATTTTGAAACACACCCATTTACTATTTGCTTGACTGATCTCTGTTGCTGATCATGACGGCCAGCAGCCCTTCAACTTCAGGGACAGTGAAGGGCTCAACATGGCTCAACTATGTAGTGGGCCATGTAGTGTACATGGTGTGAGCATGTATGCACACACACACAATGACACATACACAGATATATATATATATAAACAAAGTTAAATATATAAATATAAATAAATATAAATGAATATAAATAGATATAAATGTAAATGAATATATATAAATGAATATAAATAAATATAAATGAATATAAATGATTATAAATAAATATAAATAAATAAATATAAATAAATAAATATAAATAAATAAATATAAATAAATAAACAAACAAATAAATAAATATATATATATATATACCGTTAAAGTCAAAGTTAGAATGCGGTTTTGGCTTCGCGTGATGGTGCCCCGTTATATGTAAATAAGATGATATATATATAATATCTAATGCACACACACACACATATATATAATTGACATGGGAACAAACCCATGATGCCCACATACACAGAACCATACAGATCTATACAGTATATAAGACAATTGCACTCATTGCTAAACATTATACGTTATGTTATATTATGTTATTACCATTGTTATTGCCCCATTGTTACATAAGCATGTCCGTTTCCGAAGGGGCTGGCCGCCATGGTAGTTTGCCATGGTGAGGTGTTCTTCCTGGCTCGGCAAGATGGCCGCCTGGATGTGTGGGACTACTTCTACCGCATGAATGAGGTGAGGCACCACATGGTACCCCCCAGGATCCAGCAGGATCCAGCAGGATCTGCAGAGTCTGCAGAGTCTGCAGAGTCTGAAAGTGATACATTGAATCGATGAGATGCAAGATGCCTTAGAAAGAACTTAGATAGTACCTAGCTCAAACTTGGAGAGGAATGAGAGGTAAGGAGTCATCAAGGAATCAGGATCCAGGATGAAATTCTTACGACTCCCGGAGCCCATGGCCCCATGGGACCAGGTGGCGCTGACGCAGCAAGTGTCAGATCGTGCGTTGACCTCGCTGAATGTGCAGTCTCATGGCCGCCTTGCCGCTGTGGGCGACGCGGGAGGCCTTTTTGCACGGCCCCCAAAAAACAGGCTTTGTTTGAGACTGGGCTGTGGGGGATGCTAAGGGAAAAATTCTGACCATATTGTTGGTACCGTAGGAGTCCTACCCATTATGTTCAGACAAACCAATTCTTTCTGTTGCGAGACACCTTTGGTATCTGCTGACTGGGCAGGTGTGATCACGCTGCTGCAGCTGTGCGATGGCCTTGTTGATCCAGGAGATACCGTAGTGGCTGTTGGTCAGCGGATGATGCCCCCAGAGACATAGTTGGGAGATGTTAGAAGAACTATGAGGAAATAACTTGAAATGACCCTGTTTGAAGATCTTTGAAGGCATGTGAGTATATTTGAATCATCGATTTACAAGCGACTGACTTTGTTATGATCGAATTCCTGATGGTTTTCCTGCGGAGGCTCCCGCATTTGCCAGAGCGGAATGTGGGAGCCAATCCGCCCCGGCAGCCTGGTAGGACCCAATGAGAAGAACATGATCGGTTGGATGTATGAACGGGAGACGAAGCGAGAGAAGTCCCTGGAGCAGATCAAAAAGCAGGGCGGAGGAGCTAAGAAGGACCACCCGCTGGACTGGGAAAAATCACCGGTGCAACCAACTCTTGGATTCTTTCCAAAAAGGCACTCTAACCATTGCAATCAATCAGCGCTCCCAGCCATCGCCCTTGATTCAAGAGCACAGGAAAACATGACTGGAGAGTATGAAGGAAAACAAGGAAATCACAATAACTTGAAACAACTGGAGGGTTTTTGAGACTCCCACACTGCCCAACTCATTAAACTCATCAGGATGAGAAGGATGGTGCGACAGGTACGACAATTGACAAGACCAAGTACCAGGAACGAGAGAAGGCCTTCTTCACCGAGCTCAACATGACCGGTGATGACCTGGGCACCACTTTGCCAGCACGCTAGCGAATGGTGACCGCTGGGTGACCGCTGGCAAAGATTGAACACTCTTTTCCGCTACGGTGACCGAGGTAACCGGTGGTGTGTAGATGATGCATCGGTACCTTGTTCGCAGCCTCAAGTCTCACACAGGGTGTCGTGGTGACTGTACAGCATCCTGCCAGCATGTGGGTCACTTGAAGCATGGTTTCACAGAGAGCCCGTCGGCTCACAGCTTGACGCTTGCAAAACTTGCGCAAGAAAAGGGCGCAGATCAGGCAGATCAGGGTCGGGGCTTGTTCAGGGTGCAGTCAAGCACAAAAAGCGAACTATTGGACCCATGGCTAGAGAGCAACGTTGCCAGGAATCAGTGTGCTCCCCTGATTGTACCTCTCTGTGGTTTGTGTCCCTGTCAGGTGCTTTTCCAAGTTTCAGATCGTTTCAGATGCCCCCACTATGTCACAATATCATACAATATCCCAATCGACTTGAGCGTGTGTTTTTTCTAAAATGATGTTGGACGTTGCACCTTTTTTTTGAAGATGGGGCTGTCAGCACCAAGCCGGTTGCCGATGGGGCCGTCTATGACAAACTTCCTATCAGGTGCGAGCGCCGGTTCCTGGGACCAGGCACGACGAGAACTCAAGTGCGTGCTGCAGGCGGGGGAGGATAGGATGATGGTTGGGTGTCTATGCTGGGCCAATGGCCTAGTGACTAGGGGATCTAGGGGTAACCAGGGCGAGACTTCAAACCCCAAGGGTTAGCGGGTTAGCCCAAACTGTCCTCATCTCTCCATGAATCCTTGGCAGGACTTGGAGGCTGGGAGCGCTGATGGGAGCCTTATAACAGACCTCGCACAACTGTTCCAAGAAAGATCAAACACACACATACACACGCACACACGCACGCACGCACGCACGCACGGATATATGTGTGTATATATATATATAGATAATACATATAATATACATAAATAAACAAGAATATATACTTATATTTTATACTTTATGTATATTAATATATACACATATATCTGTACGTGCATACGTACGTACGTACATTACCTTACCTTACCTTACCTTACCTTACCTTACCTTACATTACATTACATTACATTACATTACACACACATACACACACAGATAGACACAGATAGACACAGATAGATAGATAGATAGATAGATAGATAGATAGATAGATAGATAGATAGATAGATAGATAGATAGATAGATAGATAGATAGATAGATAGATATACATACAAAGAATCGGTGGTTGGGTATTGATGTGTGGCACGGGCTTAATCTGGTTGAGGAGAAACCGCGAAGGGCATGGAATGCAGCTTCAGGCTCTTGCAGCCCTTTCGCAGTTTGAAGTGCATTCCATGCCAAAGGAAAAGATTGCTAGACAAACACCCTGAAACTGCAGATAGCTACCTTGAAAGCATGACTTTAGATGATACACACCCATACATATTGACAGCATTTTCCGCGAATCCAGCAGACCCAAGTCAACCATGGACCTTGTCTGCCAATGATCTAGTCTTGGTCGATGGATGCAAACTAAGCCAGATGATTTCGTTCATTTCAGCCCACCAAGCTGAAGATTAAGAGCTTCAGCCGCCTTTTTTACAGGGCCAGATCGGCCAGGGTAGATGACGTGGATCAACAATGACCAATTTGGTGTTGCACTGCCCTCCCCACCTCAACATACCAAGATACTACAATACCCAGAGACCATTTGGGTTTCCGATGGTTTCCTTAATCGGGGCTTCTTTCTTCAAGTTGATCCAGCGCAATGAGAGTCCTGCTCTTGAGCCTGTTGTCATTGGCAGCATCCACCGGCTGGGAGAAGGCTTGTGACGAGGATGCACTTGGACCTCAAACTTGCGCAAACCTCCCTGTTTGCAATATGTAGTACTCGTAATAGATCGTATAATCATACGTATATACATACACGAATATAACAAGTATTCATCATATTCATCTATATTCATCTATTGATACTTATTGGGTATCTATTATTACTGGTATGTGTATCTCATCCCACATGGCACATGATATCCATCAAGAGGGTTGTCCAGTGAATGCAGGTACAGCATAGGCACGCTGTTAGGTTACATGGTGTTACATGGACACGGTGATTGGTGCTTTGTGCGCTGGGTTCCTTGGGTGTTCCCAGGTTACATCCGGCGGCCAAAGGATTGCCCCGTCACCGCTGTCCTGGACAGCTCTGTTCAGGGCTTGCGCTTTGATGGTCATGGCGCTGTGTCCGGAAGAGGTTCAGCGGTTCAGCGGGTCTAAATGAGTTGGAACATGTTGGAGCAGATGCGAACGATCAACAAGGTTGTGTTTCCATTGGGGTTAGTTTCATAAATTGTTTCATGGCATAACCTGGTGTCGGTTGTGGTGCCAGATGGTGCCAGGCACCTCCAGATATTTGTACGACTATGCTGAAGCAATGAGATCGGAGATCCTTGATTTGCTGACGCTTGGACTTGGACTTGGACGGAGGTCAGAGGTCACCAGACGTGAGCTGATCCAAGGCAGCATCCAATGGCCATGGTAAGTCGAGGCCAGTCACTGGTGGTCACCGCGCCAAGGTTTGCTCCAAATTACGCAGCATCCATCCAGGTGCAGCCGGCCCGATGGCCAGAGCCACCATGGCCTGTGCATTTTTGCAACATTCTTTCATCAATTACACTAAATTACACTAAACATCGCCAGATATGCCAGGTGCTAAAAGTGGAGATTGGAGGAGATGCACAGACTGGGTTTCTCGGCTGAACACAGACTGAGTTGCCTTTATTGAAATCGAGATGGGTGCGATGGACCGCATGGTGAAGGAATGGCATGCCAAGGTTGAAGAATGTTAAATCCATGAGCTGCACAAAATACACAAGCAGCGAACGAGAAAAGACACCAGTTAACAA